TTTCTGTGGCTGTGGTATTGAGTGGAGAATGGTTTGTGTTGCTATGGTATTGAGTGGAGAATGTTTTGTGTTGCTGTGGTATTGAGTAGAGAATGGTTTGTGTTGCTATGGCATTGAGTAGAGAGTGGTTTGTGTTGCTATGGTATTGTGTGGAGAATGGTTTGTGTTGCAGTGGGATTGAGTAGAGAATGGTTTGTGTTGCTATGGGATTGAATGGAAAGTGGTTTGTGTTGCTATGGTATTGGGTGGAGAATGGTTTGTGTTGCTATGGTATTGAGTGGAGAATGGTTTGTGTTGCAGTGGTATTGAGTAGAGAATGGTTTGTGTTGCTATGGTATTGAGTAGAGAGTGGTTTGTGTTGCTATGGTATTGAATGGAAAGTGGTTTGTGTTGCTATGGTATTGAGTGGACAGTGGTTTGTGTTGCTATGGTATTGAGTGAAGAATGGTTTGTGTTGCTATGGTATTGAGTGGAGAGTGGTTTGTGTTGCTATGGTATTGAGTAGAGAATAGTTTGTGTTGCAGTGGTATTGAGTGGATAATGGTTTGTGTTGCTATGGTATTGAGTGGAGAGTGGTTTGTGTTGCTATGGTTATGGTTTGTGTTGCTATGGTATTGAGTGGATATTGAGTGGAGTTTGGTTTGTGTTGCTATGGTATTGAGTGGAGAATGGTTTGTGTTGCTATGGTATTGAGTGGAGAGTGATTTGTGTTGCTATGATATTGAGTGGAGAGTGGTTTGTGTTGCTATGGTATTGAGTGGAGTATGGTTTGTGTTGCTATGGTATTGAGTGGAGAATGGTTTGTGTTGCTATGGTATTGAGTGAAGAATAGTTTGTGTTGCAGTGGTATTGAGTGGAGAATGGTTTGTGTTGCTATGGTATTGAGTGGAGAATGGTTTTCTGTCAATCTGTACACTTAACATTGTTCACACTACTCCAACAGTACTGTCTGTACTTTTTTTTAATGATATTTGGTACACAGATTCCCTCCCCTCTCTTTATTTTCAATGATGCTTGGTACAAATTGCACTAACATAGGGGAGGGGGTTAGCTAGGTTATTAGCTATTCTGTCGACAGTTTTCGTTGTGGTATGGGAGTGAGGGGGATGGTTACAGTAAGGGGATGTTTGGTTGATATGGGAAATAGGCATTAGTGTGTTTGTAGTAAAATCAATAGGATTGAGTTGGCTGGACATATCTGGCAGTGTAATTACTGTGGGGCTGGTCATCCTACTAACCACTGGTCTGTCAATCTTGGCCACTGTTGTTCTGTGGTACATGTTTAACCTCTCTGTGACCGCAGCGTAGAGGTTTCACTGTTCATAATGACCCTGCTTTATCTAATAACATAATTATAGTCTTTCTTTCAATGCTTGAGTAGAATTTGGTTGTATATGCTGAGGTCTATGGCCTGGTCATGTGGCCATTAACTGCCTCTGAAGCTGGATGATACCATTCCCACCTATAAAGTGGCCATGGTCCCTTCTCTAGGTACTCTCAGTATCCTTTACTTAGAAATGGAGTCAAATATCTTCTGGTTGTCATCAAATAGAAGACTAAATACTCTGGAAGGTAGCTAGCCTTAGAGTCCTGGGAAGCTGTCACATCCCATCAGTTGTGTAGCCAGTATCGAGGGAAAAGCAAAGAAAGAAGGATCATGGCAAACTTTATTAAATGCAAACATGGTGTGATTACAAATTATGGACATTTGTAGTGAACGGTTAAACTTATCTCTACAGGATTGGGGGATATTTGTAGTAAACGGTTAAACTTAGCTCTACAGGATTGGGGGATATTTGTAGTGAACGGTTAAACTTAGCTCTACAGGATTGTGGTATATTTGTAGTGAACGGTAAACTTAGCTCTACAGGATTGGGGGTTATTTGTAGTGAACTGTTAGACCTAGCTCTACAGGATTGGGGGATATTTGTAGTGAACAGTTAAACTTAGCTCTGCAGGATTGTGGGATATTTGTAGTGAACGGTTAAACTTAGCTCTACAGGATTGGGAGATATTTGTAGTGAACGGTTAGACCTAGCTCAACAGGGTCAGACAGATGTTTGTAGTAATGAACTGTTAGTCCTAGTTCTACAGGGTCAGAGAGATGTTTGTAGTGAATTGTTAGTCCTAGCTCAACAGGATTGGGGGATATTTGTAGTGAACTGGTAGACCTAGCTCTACAGGGTCAGACAGATGTTTGTAGTGAATTGTTAGTCCTAGTTCTACAGGGTCAGACAGATGTTTGTAGTGAACTGTTAGACCTAGCTCTACACGTCAGAGAGATGTTTGTAGTGAATTGTTAGTCCTAGTTCTACAGGGTGAGACAGATGTTTGTAGTGAATTGTTAGTCCTAGCTCTACATGTCAGAGATGTTTGTAGTAGTGAATTGTTAGTCCTAGTTCTACAGGGTCAGACAGATGTTTGTAGTGAACTGTTAGTCCTAGTTCTACAGGGTCAGACAGATGTTTGTAGTGAATTGTTAGTCCTAGTTCTACAGGGTCAGACAGATGTTTGTAGTAGTGAACTGTTAGTCCTAGTTCTACAGGGTCAGACAGATGTTTGTAGTGAACTGTTAGTCCTAGTTCTACAGGGTCAGACAGATGTTTGTAGTGAATTGTTAGTCCCAGTTCTACAGGGTCAGACAGATGTTTGTAGTAGTGAACTGTTAGTCCTAGTTCTACAGGGTCAGACAGATGTTTGTAGTAAACTGTTAGTCCTAGTTCTACAGGGTCAGACAGATGTTTGTAGTGAACTGTTAGTCCTAGTTCTACAGGGTCAGACAGATGTTTGTAGTGAACTGTTAGTCCTAGCTCTACAGGGTCAGACAGATGTTTGTAGTAGTGAACTGTTAGTCCTAGTTCTACAGGGTGAGAGAGATGTTTGTAGTGAACTGTTAGACCTAGCTCTACAGGGTCAGACAGATGTTTGTAGTGAATTGTTAGTCCTAGCTCTACACGTCAGAGAGATGTTTGTAGTGAACTGTTAGACCTAGTTCTACAGGGTCAGAGAGAAATTTGTAGTGAACTGTCAGACCTGCAGAATTAGTGCTGAAGAGATAATATAACATCACATCACCACTGTTAGATATCATCACTTGTAGAAAGTGTCACTGGTAAGAACAAGTTTTTAGTTTATAGGGCAAGAGGGGTATTTTTCTACAAATGATTATACATGTATATGTTTTAATATTCATGAAAACAAATCAATTGCTAAAGTAATAAAGAACAAGGAACCCCTATGCATGTATTCACTAATACAGCGGAGCCTTTCCTCGTCTCAATTTGATACCCATAGGTCAGTAGTACAACTCAGGTCCTTAAACCATGTCAATGGAATATTTGGGGTCTGGCCTAGCCTGACATTTGATAGCCATAGACCTCTTGATACTATGATAAGGGGTCAATTACTACAGGGTTATTTTACAAATAAACAGAGACCCTGACACAAGTGATTGTAAGGCTTCACAAGGAAAATGGGACAACATTCCTATGCTGAAACGTAAACAAACTCTGCCTTGGGTTTTACAGACAGCAGTCACCATGAAAACTTAAGGTCCTCCTAACTTTTGTTATTGACATTGAGTTACACGTTTTGGGGGAGGAACCACCTGTTTTCCTCACCACTATGTACCACGTACACACCTACAAACTTGTAATGCTGGACAGGTGTCAGATTGTACAACAGACCAGACGGCTCTGTCGCTATCACACTGGCATGTACATCTCACTTCAGGCATCACATTTCACAGGCCCTTCCTGATACCCACTAGAGATTGGGTATTGTAGCAAGAAAATGTTGCCAAGAGTTGCATGCCCCTGATAAGATAGGGGTAGGAGAAAGAAAGTGAGGTCATAACCTTCTATACCAGGAGTAGCAATAATTCTGTAAGGTAATTATCTATACTTAATGGAATTTGCCCAAGTGCACACGATTAATTGGTGTATAGATTTTTGATGTGTGGTTACATGAACATGAAATGTGATAAGATTATTTATCACTGACTCAGGAGGAGGAGACAGAAACAGACAACCCTTGTATCATGCAAACATCTTACATAATTTACATGAAGTCTCCCTCTGGATTTCTATTTTTTTATGCTGATTAAAAAATGTTTTATTACAATTTTTCCCCATTTTGATTGATTAAGTTAATTGATTTGATTGGTAGTATCGGGAAGCATCTCTCAAATATTGCTGGTTTTATTTTGTGAATTTCCTGATAAGGAAAATGTATTTCTCCAGAGTTGTCATGGTCTAGGATCAGTGATAAATGTAGCAGTAGTTGGATTTAGTGTAAATAGTATCAACACTTAACAAAGTGGATAGTGATGTATTTTAAGGGTAAACTTGCCTGATGGATGGGCAGGGGTGACAGCTGATGGATTTATTACACTCCTCTCGGGGACCATCACTTTTACTGGAAACACTGTTCTCATCAAACTTTCATATTTCCTTCAAAATTTCAAGAAGTTGAATAATTAAAGCCTGTGAAGTTAAATATATAATACAGAACATACACCTTAATGTTTATTATACCCCTGCAACGAAGTTAGGGGGGTATACTGGAATCACCCTGTCTGTCTGTCTGTCTGCCTGCCTGTCTGGAAGGAAGGAAGGAAGGAAGGAAGGAAGGAAGGAAGGAAGGAAAACTCCTCCGTTTTCCTCCTTAACTTACAGGTGGATTTCATTGAAACTTTGCTATGAATGATCAGTATCTTATGTAGTTGTGCACCGGCATTTCAACCCTTTTTGATGGAGTTATGCCCCTTTTTAGGTCACCTGAGACAAAGTCTCACACAGCTGAATTGGATGCTTCCCCATAGGAATTTGTAGGTGTTCTAACTTTAAGCTGTTTCCTTGTCACTAATTGGTGAAACATTGAAGTTGGTATCCTTACTGTGTTTTGATTCTGATTGATAGGAAATTGATTGTCTGATAAGAGTGCTCTCTCCCCTAGCTAATTTACATATAGATAAATAGTCTTCTTCCTCTTCCATACAGATGGCAAAGATGATGATAAAAAGAAGTCTTCCACTTTGGGTCGATTCTTTAGGAATATTGGACTGCGACGATCCGGAAAGAAGCACTCATACAAGCCACATAAAGGTAATGGCTGGCATTACTGTTGTACTGGTGTCCATGGAAACCATACGATTGATTGATTTGATGATATTGACATGTCCTATCAATAATTAGCTCACCGGGTCAAAAGGACCAAGGTGAGCTTATGCCATACCGTGGTGTCCGTCGTCCGGCCGTCGACCGTCTGTCAACAATTTCTTTAAACGACTTCTTTTTCTTAACCACTGATTGGAATTTAACTAAATTTGACTGGAAGCATCCCTAGGTGGTGTGGATTCAAAATTGTACAAATGGTGGGGCTGACCCCCCAGGGGGCTGAGGGGCGGGGCCAAAAGGGGGCATTTTGGCTATATTGCTACAAACGACTTCTTCTGTAGAACTATGATCTGGATATCAATCATATTTAATCAGAAGAATTCATGCGAGGCAGGGATTCAAAATTGTACAAATGGTGGGGCTGACCCCCCAGGGGGCTGAGGGCTGGGCCAAAAGGGGGCAATTTGGCTATATTGCTATAATTGACTTCATCCGTAGAACTATACCATGGATATTGATCATATTTGGTCGGAAGCATTCATGGGAGGCAGGGATTCAAAATTGTACAAATGCTGGGGCTGACCCCCCCCCCCCGGCTAAGGGGTGGGGCCCAAAAATTTTTTTTGCTTGGAAATGGTTGAGATCCCCAACAATTGCTGAGTATAAAGAGAGGAATGCACATTTGCTTCCAGGATGGCCATAGGGTCTGGCCCCACCCTTGGAGACTCAACCCCTGGGTCATAACTTTGAAATGGTTGAGATTCCCAACCCAAAACTATATATATACAAATGCTGGGCAAAAAGAGACAAATGCAGTCATGATATTAGAATTGATCCTGGGGTCTGGCCACAACCCTAGGGACCTAGTTTCTGAGTCACAGCTCGGAAACAGTTGAGATCCCCACCCCATAACCATACATAAAATTGCTGGGCATGCAAAATCAAATACAGATATGCTACAAGGATTGGCCTTGGGGTCTGGCATATTCCCTTGGATCTCATTTGGAGAATATTTTGCCATGATTGCTTTGATATCCAGATGAGCGATACAGGCCCTCTGGGCCTCTTGTTTTATTTTATGTGATTGTATAGGTCACTGATTCAACATTCAGAGCAGTATTTTTAGGTCACTTGAGACAAAGTCTCAAGTGACCTATTGCGATCGCCTTTTGCCCGGCGTCGTCCGGTGTGCGTCCGTAAACAATTTACATTTTCGACTTCTTCTCCAAAACCCCTGAACCAATTTCAATGAAATTTTGCAGAAACCTTCCATGGCCAAAGGTCAACCAAAATTGTGAATTATGTGGTCCCCAGCCCCCAGGGGCCTGAGGGGCGGTGCCAAAAAGGGTAAGATTGACCAAAATTTCAAAAATCTTCTTCTCAAGATCCAGATATGGTAGAATCAAATACTCTTCATAGATGGAAGGGTCTTAAGGTGCTTTAACATAATTCAGCTGACTGACAGAACCACTATTTGTACATAGTACATATACTACCCAGATCTTTCACACTACTTTTGCATTACATGTAGTTCAAGTTACCTTTGTTACAAAATGAATTCTTTTTCATTTGTCAACATCATCGATAACATCAGTTTTTACATAACTCAGGTGACCGCTAAGGCCCATGGGCCTCTTGTTTTATATTCTACTCAAAACTATAAACACAAATCCATACATTAAAAGTAGGAAATTAACCAAGAATCTGAAGCAAACAAAGAATTAAGTATTTACATATTTATACTAAAGCTATATTTCATTTTTCAGGTGACCCGAATGCATTTGACATAACTATGGACGATGATGACCGCATGGCACTAATGTTGATGGTCAAGGAGGGCAAGATCACAACTGAGCACGCCCTACAAGTGGTCAGTGGACATTGGCCGGACGGCACAATTGTAGGGCTGACCTCCAATTAAAGCTTGTGTTTGCTGTGTGCCTATTGTAGTAACTAATTTGTAAATAAGGAGAAGTTGACACCAAGTATACACAAATCAATAAGATAGCATACTTTCCTGAAGTTTGTTGTCCTCAGTCTATATATAAAATGGGGTTCTGTGGGGCTCAATCAAGTTTCTATATTTACCATTGTATGGCATTACCACTATATATCCCTACCAAATTCAGTTGGCATTCATGGCCTATATGAAACCAACTGGATAAAGGCAAATCTAACATTAAGCCCTACATTGAATTTGGCTTTGTCCAGTTGTCATTCATAATGCCTGTGAACTCCAACTGAAAGCAGTTCAATGCTTAAAAATATGCAATGTGGTCCTATGGTGCTCAATCAAGTTTCTAAACATGCAATGTGGTCCTGTGGTGCTCAATTATGTTTCTTAAGTTGCTTTGGGGTCCTGTTGTGCTCAAGTCAAGTTTTTAAACATGCGAAGTGGTCTGGTGGTGCTCAAACAAATTTCTACTCTGATCATGGTCATATCGTCAGTATTATCAGTTTCTTAGGATATATATTTTGTCCTAGTTTGGTGTGATACATATTTTGTCCAATCTTGGTGTGATACCTATTTTGTCCTAGCTTGGTGTGATACATATTTTGTCCTAGCTTGTTGTGATACATATTTTGTCCTAGCTTGTTGTGATACATATTTTGTCCTAGTTTGGTGTGATACATATTTTGTCCTAGTTTAGTGTGATACATATTTTGTGCTAGTTTAGTGCGATACATATTTTGTCCTAGTTTGGTGTGATACATATTTTGTCCTAGCTTGTTGTGATACATATTTTGTCCTGGTTTTGTGTGATCATATATTGTCCTAGTTTAGTGTGATACATGTTTTGTCCTAGCTTGTTGTGATACATATTTTGTCCTAGTTTTGTGTGATCATATATTGTCCTAGTTTAGTGTGATACATATTTTGTCCTAGTTAAGTGTGATACATGTTTTGTCCTAGTTTGGTGTGATACATATTTTGTCATAGTTTGGTGTGATGCATATTTTGTCCTAGTTTAGTGTGATACATGATACATATTTTGTCCTAGTTTAGTGTGTGATACATGTTTTGTCCTAGCTTGTTGTGATACATACTTTGTCCTAGTTTTGTGTGATCATATATTGTCCTAGTTTAGTGTGATACATGTTTTGTCCTAGTTTAGTGTGATACATATATTGTCCTAGTTTTGTCCTAGCTTGTTGTGATACATATTTTGTCCTAGCTTGGTGTGATACATATTTTGTCCTAGCTTGTTGTGATACATATTTTGTCCTAGTTTAGTGTGTGATACATGTTTTGTCCTAGCTTGTTGTGATACATACTTTGTCCTAGTTTTGTGTGATCATATATTGTCCTAGTTTAGTGTGATACAGATTTTGTCCTAGTTTGGTGTGATACATATATTGTCCTGGTTTGGTGTGATACATGTTTTGTCCTAGTTTAGTGTGATACATATATTGTCCTAGTTTGGTGTGTTACATATTTTGTTCTAGTTTGGTGTGATACATATTTTGTCCTAGGTTGGTGTGATACATATTTTGTCCTAGTTTAGTGTGATAATATTTTGTCCTAGTTTAGTGTGATACATTTTTTGTCCTAGTTTGTTGTGATACATATTTTGTCCTAGTTTTGTGTGATCATATATTGTCCTAGTTTAGTGTGATACAGATTTTGTCCTAGTTTGGTGTGATACATATTTTGTCATAGTTTGGTGTGATGCATATTTTGTCCTAGTTTAGTGTGATACATATTTTGCCCTAGTTTGGTGTGATACATATTTTGTCCTAGCTTGTTGTTATACATATTTTGTCCTAGTTTAGTGTGATACATACTTTGTTCTAGCTTGTTGTGATACATAATTTGTCCTAGTTTAGTGTGATACATATTTTGCCCTAGTTTGGTGTGATACATATTTTGTCCTAGTTTGGTGTGATACGTATTTTGTCCTAGTTTGGTGTGATACATATACATATTTTGTCCTAGTTTAGTGTGATACATTTTTTGTCCTAGCTTGTTGTGATACATATTTTGCCCTAGTTTAGTGTGATACATATTTTGTCCTAGCTTGTTGTTATACATATTTTGTCCTAGTTTAGTGTGATACATTTTTTGTCCTAGTTTGTTGTGATACATATTTTGTCCTAGTTTAGTGGGATACATGTTTTGTCCTAGCTTGCTGTGAGACATATTTTGTCCTAGTTTTGTGTGATCATATATTGTCCTAGTTTAGTGTGATACATGTTTTGTCCTAGTTTAGTGTGATACATATATTGTCCTAGTTTAGTGTGAAACATATTTTGTTCTAGCTTGTTGTGATACATAATTTGTCCTAGTTTAGTGTGATACATATTTTGTTCTAGCTTGTTGTGATACATATTTTGTTCTAGTTTAGTGTGATACATATATTGTCCTAGTTTTGTCCTAGCTTGTTGTGATACATATTTTGTCCTAGCTTGGTGTGATACATATTTTGTCCTAGCTTGTTGTGATACCTATTTTGTCCTAGTTTAGTGTGATACATACTTTGTTCTAGCTTGTTGTGATACATAATTTGTCCTAGTTTAGTGTGATACATATATTGTCCTAGTTTAGTGTGAAACATATTTTGTTCTAGCTTGTTGTGATACATAAGTTGTCCTAGTTTAGTGTGATACATATATTGTCCTAGTTTGGTGTGTTACATATTTTGTCCTAGTTTAGTGTGATACATGTTATGTCCTAGCTTGTTGTGATACATATTTTGCCCTAGTTTAGTGTGATACATATTTTGTCCTAGCTTGTTGTTATACATATTTTGTCCTAGTTTAGTGTGATACATTTTTTGTCCTAGCTTGTTGTGATACATATTTTGCCCTAGTTTAGTGTGATACATATTTTGTCCTAGCTTGGTGTGATACATATTTTGTCCTAGCTTGTTGTTATACATATTTTGTCCTAGTTTAGTGTGATACATTTTTTGTCCTAGCTTGTTGTGATACATATTTTGTCCTAGTTTTGTGTGATCATATATTGTCCTAGTTTAGTGTGATACATGTTTTGTCCTAGTTTAGTGTGATACATATTTTGTCATAGTTTGGTGTGATACATATTTTGTCCTAGTTAAGTGTGATACATATATTGTCCTAGTTTGGTGTGTTACATATTTTGTTCTAGTTTGGTGTGATACATATTTTGTCCTAGCTTGGTGTGATACATATTTTGTCCTAGTTTGGTTTGATACATATTTTGTCCTAGTTTGGTGTTATACATATTTTGTCCTAGTTTGGTGTGATGCATATTTTGTTCTAGTTTGGTGTGATACATATTTTGTCCTAGGTTGGTGTGATACATATTTTGTCCTAGTTTAGTTTGATACATATATTGTCCTAGTTTGGTGTGATGCATATATTGTCCTAGTTTGGTGTGATACATATATTGTCCTGGTTTGGTGTGATACATGTTTTGTCCTAGTTTAGTGTGATACATATATTGTCCTAGTTTTGTCCTAGCTTGTTGTGATACATATTTTGCCCTAGTTTAGTGTGATACATATTTTGTCCTAGTTTGGTTTGATACATATTTTGTCCTAGTTTGGTGTTATACATATTTTGTCCTAGTTTGGTGTGATACATATTTTGTCCTAGTTTGGTGTGATACATATTTCATCCTAGTTTTTGTGTGATACATATTTTGTCCTAGCTTGTTGTGATACATATTTTGTCCTAGGTTGGTGTGATACATATTTTGTTCTAGTTTGGTGTGATATATATTTTGTCCTAGTTTGGTGTGATACATATTTTGTCCTAGTTTGGTGTGATACATAATTTGTCCTAGTTTGGTGTGATATATATTTTGTCCTAGTTTGGTGTGATACATATTTTGTTCTAGTTTGGTGTGATACATATTTTGTCCTAGTTTGGTGTGATACATATTTTGTCCTAGTTTGGTGTGATACATATTTTGTCCTAGTTTGGTGTGAGTTGAACTGACAGGCTTCTTATGATACATATATTGTCCTAGTTTGGTGTGATACATATTTTGTCCTAGCTTGTTGTGATACATTTTTTGTCCTAGTTTGGTGTGATACATATTTTGTCCTAGTTTGGTGTGATACATATTTTGTCCTAGTTTGGTGTGATACATATTTTGTCCTAGTTTGTTGTGATACATTTTTTGTCCTAGTTTGTTGTGATACATATTTTGTCCTAGTTTGGTGTGATACATATATTGTCCTAGTTTGTTGTGATACATTTTTTGTCCTAGCTTGTTGTGATACATATTTTGTCCTAGTTTGGTGTGATACATATATTGTCCTAGTTTAGTGTGATACATATTTTGTGCTAGTTTGGTGTGATACATGTTTTGTCCTAGTTTGTTGTGTTACATATTTTGTCCTAGTTTGGTGTGAGTCGAAATGACAATATAGCCTTTCAACAACTAGCTGATGTTTAGAATAAACATATAAAGTTTGTCACCTTGTTGGTATTCGGCCAATCCCATTGTCTCAGCCTATTTTGTCCCATTGTAATTTTATTCCACAGTTACAGCCCTCTTTCATTGTTTTAGGGTATGGTATGTGAATGTTTTAAATACAAGAACTGTTGAACTACTGGTTATACAGGAATAAAATGATGCCTTATATGGTTGGATTCTTAAAAGATAAAAACAAATGTTAATTAAAAGTTAGTTTTCAATACACCTTCTATGTATCTCTTTTTCTGAACAATATTATGGATTCCCAAATTAGCTGTTGTTATTTTGTCTTGAAGGTAAAAAAATATGAGGAAGAACGACGGAAAGATCTTGAACAGGTAAGTGTACAGGTAGTACTATGTATCAGGTAAGCTGCTGTACTAGAAGTCTTCACTGGGTCAGTGTAGGTGTTATTGTTTCATTGTGTTACATATGTATTTTCCATTTTGTGTGACAGCTATACCTTAATATCAGAAATTCAACACATTATTTATATACAACTAAAACACGATAAACAGTTATCTGTTTATTACACATGTTAGCAAAAACATGAATAAGATACACTGAGAAGTATGTGTATACATTATTAACATTTGGCATATCAGGGGCTACTCACTCTACTTGCTTAACATACCCTTAATACAACTTAAACTTGAAATTTGACATCAAGACTCATACCTGCCAACCCTGGACATACTGAAAGAGGGTTATGACCCTCTTTTGAAAATTAAAAAGAGGGTCATAGTGCGCGACGGCTTTTTTCGCAACAAATATAAGAAAAATAGATATTAAATTATAACTTAAAATTTTAATGATGTAAAAGTTACATTCTACATTCATTAAACTGTTCTTTCAGCAGATCTAGCTGATCCTCATCCACAATACCAAATTCAAAGCTGAAAAATAAAAAAGATTTGTCAACAACACAACTTATAAAATTAATTCATAATAATATATATGATACTGTGTTTTCACAGGCATTTTTTATGTCAATTGAAATGGTCCCGACAATAAGATGTCACATTCTGGTTATATAAAATACCATTTTGTTTCTGTCAATGAAAATGGTCCTGACAACAAGAAGTTGCACCCTTCTCATATAAAATATCAGTTTTATACGAGTAGGGTTTGAACTCTTATTGTAAGGATCATTTTGATTGACAGAAACAAATCATCAAATGCCTGTGCGTGTTTTTGACTAGAGTGCAGAATGCAGCGTTTGGTCCACGACCACGGGACTTTGTACACTATAACTCATTTTCCTACGACATTTGATATGTGTACAATTATCTTTTCTTTTAGCAATTCGTGTAGTAGAACCTGCAAGTCCCGATAAAAACTTCTTCCTTCAAGAAGACATAACGTTACCTTCAAAATACGATCTATTCTACGTAAATACAACTCAATTATTCGTTAAAAACCTGACTAATAACTTGTCGGCAAGTTCAGTAACAACGTTCTTTATATAAACATTTGTAAAAACAGTTCTAGTACGTATATAAACAACTCACAACTTACCTGTTGGTGAGAAACGGAAACAGGAAATAGATCGTCTTTCTTGTGAAGAAGGATGGAAAAGTCTAGAGAATTCCGAGTGACTTCTATAACTTCTAATATACAAAAAGATTCCGGGTAAAAACGGGTGAAATTGACGAAATCCGGGTCAAAATAGTAACCCGGCGGGTGAAGTTATAAAAGCGGGTGAAGGGCTAAAATCCCGGGTGTAACCCGATGAAATCGGGTCACTTGGCAGGTATGCAAGACTCCAAAAAGACACCCAGAGAAAAGGCTTGACTCTGCCGAACTCCAGAGAAGCAACTTGACTGTTAAGTATTTATGGAGAAAATGAGAAATAGAATACTCTTAACCTAAAGAAGAAGCTTGACTCTACTGAGCTGCAGAGAAGAAGCTTGACTCTACTTAGCTGCAGAGAAGAAGCTTGACTCTACTGAGCTGCAGAGAATAAGCTTGACTCTACTGAGCTGCAGAGAAGAAGCTTGGCTCTACTGAGCTGCAGAGAAGAAGCTTGACTCTACTGAGTTGCAGAGAAGCGACTTGACTCTAAGTATTCCTGGAGATGATGATACATATATAGAAGCTACTGACATAGTAAATGAATAATATTTAAATTAATAAAGTATTGTGGGTAAAATTCCCCTGGAATTAAAACCTGAGTTAAAGAATAAATTACAAAGAGTGAGTAGCCCACCTAACAATATAAGGAACAATATACAGGAAGAAACAGGTTACTGTTTGTGAAGAAAAATAAATAAAAGTACATCAAAGGTGAATCTGGGGACGGTGGATGGGTGCGTAAAAACAAACGATGATAATCCGCCAAAAACAAAGAATAAATAGGATGCTGTCAATACTAATACCCCTCTAGGGGATAATGCTGATTGGTCAAAATCTACCCCACTCATTAGCATAAATATATCAACAACTTGCATAGAGATATGACTAGCTATATAGCTACATATCAAGATGCATATGGACACAACCTGCCAAAGCATCTATTCTTGTAATAAGCAACACAAAGAAAAGATACAAAATGTACATGAACATTTAAGTGCATTTTTTAACATTATGAATTCATGACTAAACAAAAAATACACTAAACAAGCCATGCATGTAGAAGTACATATAGTTGTATACAAACTATAATTTAACATTTAACATGTCAAATTATCATTGAAATATAAATTGATTGAAATTCCCGCTTTTGACTACAAATAAGCTCCCACTCCTAGTAAAAAGACTGTTCATGATAAGTAGGAAATGTTACCAACTTTGGAAACAATATTTTACTTGTCTTCTTTTATCTTACATTTTCTAAGCATATAATTGTAATTTTCAGAGGGAGAAGGCTTTCAAAAGGAAAAAAAAACAGACAAGGCCTGTCAAGTCCCCATCGGCTACTTACACAGGTGAGTGTAGGGGTACACATGGGACTATTTGTCAGGTACACAGGTGAGAGTAAGGGTACAAAAGTGAATATGTGTCAGGAACATAGGTGAGTGTGACAGATATACAGGTGAGTGTGGGGGTACACAAGTGAATACATATCAGGTACATAAGTAAGTATGACAGATACACAGGTAAGTATGAAAGATACACAGGTGAGTGTGACAGGTACATAGGTAAGTGTGACAGGTACATAAATAAGTGTGACAGGTACACAGGTGAATGTGACAGATACACAGGTGAGTGTGACAGGTAAATAAGTAAGCGTGACAGGTAATTGTGACAGGTAAATAAGTGTGACAGGTAAATAAGTAAGTGTGACAGGTATACAGGTAATTGTGACAGGTAAATAAGTGTGACAGGTAAATAAATAAGTGTGACAGGTATACAGGTAATTGTGACAGGGAAATAAGTGTGACAGGTACATAAGTAAGTGTGACAGGTACACAGGTAAGTGTGACAGATATACAGGTGAGTGTGACAGGTAAATAAGTAAGTGTGACAGGTAATGTGACAGGTACATAGGGTGTGACAGGTAAATAAATAAGTGTGACAGGTATACAGGTAATTGTGACAGGTAAATAAGTGTGACAGGTACATAAGTAAGTGTGACAGGTACACAGGTAAGTGTGACAGATATACAGGTGAGTGTGACAGGTAAATAAGTAAGTGTGACAGGTACACAGGTGAGTGTGACAGGTAAATAAGTAAGTGTGACACTTAAGTAAGTGTGACAGGTACACAGTTGAGTGTGACAGGTAAATACGTATGTGTGACAGGTACATAGGTGAGTGTGACAGGTACATAGGTGAGTGTGACAGGTACACAGATATAGTCATAATTTAAGAATTAATATTTGTTAATTTTAGGGTCAATGCCTCGTTGTGATGTATGTTCCGGTTTCAAGGGGTCCCCCCATGACCTTGGCTACCCGACGGGGAATGTTTGTGTGGACCCCACCCACCAGATGGAGTACAGCCAGCACCGTCGTGTACACAGTGTTGGTCATATCGATCATGCCTACTCTTCCCGCTCCCCAGAGGGCACACGCTCACTCAACTGTACACCCACCCACTGTGCCATGAGTCGGTCATCGGCAGTGAGTACTCCGGTCAGTTTTTACTCCCCAGGCCACCATCCTAAACTGTACTCCCCAGTATTCCCACAGGATCCACGCCTTTCTCTCTACCAATGTCGCGCCTGCAGCCATCACAATAGCTCCATGTCCTCAGGGGGTGTCACTGGTCGCTGTCACACGGCCCTTGGTGTGCGCGTCAGTCAAAGTGAATCATCACCTGGTGTAAATATAACTCGGGAGGACCTGTCACCAGGTGGCGAGGCCAGTCGGTCGGGGTCATGTGTTGACCATTCCCCCTCCACTACCTCCTTTGACCTTGTGTCATCCGAGTCTGAACACTCTATCGATTGTCAATCACATGGCCATGTTCCTTACAACCACACACCCAGTCACAAGGAGAGCGGCCACTACCTCAGCAACACTGGTGCAATATCTACGAACCCCGGGGACAGGAACAGATCACCCCAGGTTCAGGGGGTGTGGCAGAAAAACGTGACCCATCGGGACGCAAATAGCCGAAACCATGGCAAGGTAAGACAACTCTGTGTTGTGTAAGGATATAGAAGTTAAAACTGGTTGTTATTTAAATCATGTTTAAGAGTTCATAGTTAGGGCCCCGTATCGGAGATACGGGTGCCCTATAGTAATCACTCTGTCTGTCTGTCCGTCCACAAATTTTATTTCTGGCTGATAACTTTGGTATTTATTGACCGATGTACATGAAACTTGGTCAAGATGTTCAGTTCACAAAAATACACCTTGAGGTAAAAGGTCAAGGTCAAAGGTCAAGGTCATTAGGTTCAAAGGTCAAGGTCAAATTTTGCATCTTTTCACTGGTGAACATTTTGGTATGACACTTTGAAGCAATGTTGCTCAGAATTAAAGAAAGAGTCAACTGACCAAAGGTCAAGGTCATCAGGTCAGAGGTCAAGGTCAAATTTTGTAGCTTTTCACTAATGAGCATTTTATGACATTATGAAGCAAAGTTGTTCGGAATTAAACAAAGAGACACACTGAGGTAAAAAGTTGATTTCAAAGGATAAGGTATTTACATTTCTGTTAGCCCAGCAAATATGGAAGGAAACAAGACTCACATCATAGTACATGTAAAATGTATATTTTGCTTCCTTGCGATTCTTTTTGAAGTCCAAACGTCAAACGTCAAGCTCAGCTATATGGGCAGATTGCTTCTTGATGATTATGGGGGATATAATGCCACAAGACGGGGCCCTTACTCACCTGTCAGTGTTCTAGTCCACGGGGCACTTACTCACCTGTCAGTGTTCTAGTTTTACCAGTTATCATAACATACACAAAATAAGACATACTTGTAATGTAGAAAGCCAGACATTCATCCAATGACAAATATCTTGTAAATAGGCTGAATGACAAAGATAATTAACTGATAACATATCTTAAACTGCTAAACAAGATCTAGTATTAAGTGAGACAGTAAATTAGTGACTCTGATATTTGGCTCAGATATTTGAGTCCTACTGTTTTGGATAGGCAGACAATCACTTGCTAATCATTAGTAATCATGCAAATGAGAAAAGGCAAACAACTGCTTATCTGCCAAAAATCTTTTCATAATTTATCAAAAACTTTCTGAAATGTGTCCATAAACTAGATACATTTTAACATCAATAACAATCTCCAAAACTCAAAACAGCCATGCTTGTTTTATATCAATGTTAAGGGAATTCTAAATAATTTCAGCCGGAACCATGTACTTGTTTTTATGTGAATTTAATTGTAGTCTTTCTATTTGCAAATGTTGGATCAAATTGAAAAGATGCCATCTTGATATCTGGGATAAAAATGTGTAAGGAACAGACGTACACTGCTTTTAAGAAGTTGTAGCACTAAAGGCTCTGGCTGTAATAAGTAATCTAGATATTTAGATAGGCTGACTGCGTTTTGTTAAGAAGTTGTAGCACTATAGGCTCTGGCTGTAATAAGTAATCTAGATATTTAGATAGGCTGACTGCGTTTTGTTAAGAAGTTGTAGCACTATAGGCTCTGGCTGTAATAAGTAATCTAGATATTTAGATAGGCTGACTGCGTTTTGTTAAGAAGTTGTAGCACTATAGGCTCTGGCTGTAATAAGTAATCTAGATATTTAGATAGGCTGACTGCGTTTTGTTAAGAAGTTGTAGCACTATAGGCTCTGGCTGTAATAAGTAATCTAGATATTTAGATAGGCTGACTGCGTTTTGTTAAGAAGTTGTAGCACTATAGGCTCTGGCTGTAATAAGTAATCTAGATATTTAGATAGGCTGACTGCGTTTTGTTAAGAAGTTGTAGCACTATAGGCTCTGGCTGTAATAAGTAATCTAGATATTTAGATAGGCTGACTGCGTTTTGTTAAGAAGTTGTAGCACTATAGGCTCTGGCTGTAATAAGTAATCTAGATATTTAGATAGGCTGACTGCGTTTTGTTAAGAAGTTGTAGCACTATAGGCTCTGGCTGTAATAAGTAATCTAGATATTTAGATAGGCTGACTGCGTTTTGTTAAGAAGTTGTAGCACTATAGGCTCTGGCTGTAATAAGTAATCTAGATATTTAGATAGGCTGACTGCGTTTTGTTAAGAAGTTGTAGCACTATAGGCTCTGGCTGTAATAAGTAATCTAGATATTTAGATAGGCTGACTGCGTTTTGTTAAGAAGTTGTAGCACTATAGGCTCTGGCTGTAATAAGTAATCTAGATATTTAGATAGGCTGACTGCGTTTTGTTAAGAAGTTGTAGCACTATAGGCTCTGGCTGTAATAAGTAATCTAGATATTTAGATAGGCTGACTGCGTTTTGTTAAGAAGTTGTAGCACTATAGGCTCTGGCTGTAATAAGTAATCTAGATATTTAGATAGGCTGACTGCGTTTTGTTAAGAAGTTGTAGCACTATAGGCTCTGGCTGTAATAAGTAATCTAGATATTTAGATAGGCTGACTGCGTTTTGTTAAGAAGTTGTAGCACTATAGGCTCTGGCTGTAATAAGTAATCTAGATATTTAGATAGGCTGACTGCGTTTTGTTAAGAAGTTGTAGCACTATAGGCTCTGGCTGTAATAAGTAATCTAGATATTTAGATAGGCTGACTGCGTTTTGTTAAGAAGTTGTAGCACTATAGGCTCTGGCTGTAATAAGTAATCTAGATATTTAGATAGGCTGACTGCGTTTTGTTAAGAAGTTGTAGCACTATAGGCTCTGGCTGTAATAAGTAATCTAGATATTTAGATAGGCTGACTGCGTTTTGTTAAGAAGTTGTAGCACTATAGGCTCTGGCTGTAATAAGTAATCTAGATATTTAGATAGGCTGACTGCGTTTTGTTAAGAAGTTGTAGCACTATAGGCTCTGGCTGTAATAAGTAATCTAGATATTTAGATAGGCTGACTGCGTTTTGTTAAGAAGTTGTAGCACTATAGGCTCTGGCTGTAATAAGTAATCTAGATATTTAGATAGGCTGACTGCGTTTTGTTAAGAAGTTGTAGCACTATAGGCTCTGGCTGTAATAAGTAATCTAGATATTTAGATAGGCTGACTGCGTTTTGTTAAGAAGTTGTAGCACTATAGGCTCTGGCTGTAATAAGTAATCTAGATATTTAGATAGGCTGACTGCGTTTTGTTAAGAAGTTGTAGCACTATAGGCTCTGGCTGTAATAAGTAATCTAGATATTTAGATAGGCTGACTGCGTTTTGTTAAGAAGTTGTAGCACTATAGGCTCTGGCTGTAATAAGTAATCTAGATATTTAGATAGGCTGACTGCGTTTTGTTAAGAAGTTGTAGCACTATAGGCTCTGGCTGTAATAAGTAATCTAGATATTTAGATAGGCTGACTGCGTTTTGTTAAGAAGTTGTAGCACTATAGGCTCTGGCTGTAATAAGTAATCTAGATATTTAGATAGGCTGACTGCGTTTTGTTAAGAAGTTGTAGCACTATAGGCTCTGGCTGTAATAAGTAATCTAGATATTTAGATAGGCTGACTGCGTTTTGTTAAGAAGTTGTAGCACTATAGGCTCTGGCTGTAATAAGTAATCTAGATATTTAGATAGGCTGACTGCGTTTTGTTAAGAAGTTGTAGCACTATAGGCTCTGGCTGTAATAAGTAATCTAGATATTTAGATAGGCTGACTGCGTTTTGTTAAGAAGTTGTAGCACTATAGGCTCTGGCTGTAATAAGTAATCTAGATATTTAGATAGGCTGACTGCGTTTTGTTAAGAAGTTGTAGCACTATAGGCTCTGGCTGTAATAAGAAATCTAGATATTTAGATAGGCTGACTGCGTTTTGTTAAGTTGTAGCACTATAGGCTCTGGCTGTAATAAGAAATCTAGATATTTAGATAGGCTGACTGCGTTTTGTTAAGAAGTTGTAGCACTATTGGCTCTGGCTGTAATAAGAAATCTAGATATTTAGATAGGCTGACTGCGTTTTGTTAAGAAGTTGTAGCACTATAGGCTCCGGCTGTAATAAGTAATCTAGATATTTAGATAGGCTGACTGCGTTTTGTTTAAGTGTGCAGGTCAAGTGGTATGCTGATTATGAAACTGAAAGTGGAATACACTAAACATGTGATCGTATGAATTTATTGAGCAATTGTGACTCTGTTCGTTAAAAAATCCTATCTCTGGCCATGCTGATCGGATACAATTTTCAAAAACAGTTAGGTGACAGTGTAATGAATCTTTAACACTGATGTCAAAGTAACAGCAATCAGTTAAGATTCAATATTGTAATGGACACACCCAACACTAATTACTAAAGTCTGATATGTAAAAACTAGGCGTAGTCGAAGCAGAGCGAAACATAGTGTGTATATTCAAAGGAGACAGTTTGCTTTGTACTATTGTTTATGCATGCTATTGTTTTGGTTGTATTGAGAATAATTTTTATGTTTCTTTTTCTTCATTCCAAACAGTTCTTCTGCAAATTATCTAATACATCTGATGCACAATAGATAAGCGGTACAAAGAGCAATGTGCTCTTTGATTCGTTAGGCTTGCCAACTTCTTGATAACTATTATTCCTTATAGTAAAGGAACTCCTTAAAATTTTGAACAAGACGCTCAGGACTTGAATGAAAAAAAAAGTATAGAAATCTCTGTGAGAGGGTGAAGAATATTGTTTGATAGGATCTATAGAGAACACGCCACACCATCACAATCTGATATTTTTCTCCTAACAGTCAACACGCATTGTGCATTTTTCAGAAAAATAAGGAAGTGATCAATATCAGTTTGACATTTTATTTCCCCTTTTTTGGACTGTCCCTTTTCTTTGTTTCATAGTCTGATTTCCCTTTTTGATATTCTTTTTTCAAGCCTTTTTCACATTGCCATTATGAAGTGATTCGCTGCTGATAAAATTAGTCGAATGATGTGTTTTAGATGCTTGTTACTCGTAACTCTCCAGTTCATACATCATTTTAAAATCAATAGTTATCACGTTAAAATAAAATGTTGGCATGACCCTGATGCAAAATTCACAACAATTTCACACGATTCTGCCAACATTCCTGTACTAACTGTGACAGTTGAGCCTTGCTGATTTTTGATTGGCTTAAACAAGCTATAATAGGGTGTGGCTGCCTCACTGTCACGTGTGAATGACTAGTCACAAGTTGTGGGCAGTGTGGCCTCCTCTCTGGCCGGGGCACGCCTGATAGTCGTTTGCACCTTGTTGCTTTTCTTGTGCTCCCATCAAGTGGCTGAGTAACCACCGTTCTTTGCGTTTTCTAAGTTTTATTGATTTTGAATGGTTGTAACACTAGTTGGAGTGCTGGCATTGCAGAGGACATTAATCAAATGATGATGAAGCGTTTTGTGCCTTTTTGTTGAATTCTGCTTCACCATGGCCATTGCATCTCATCAGATGTGTAACATGCCTGGGGTTTGGACAGCAAGCATTTTTTATTTGTTTCGCCACTTTATGGTGGCCCTTTAGGGACAGATTGACGACTGTCATTGATGAATTATTCAATCTCCTGTACATAGCTATAAACCGGCCCCTGGACCCACCAGCATCTCTACTGTTACTGTGGTACACCAGCTTATTACCAGATTAATGAAATCTATATGCTTCCTCTCAACTTCACGCCAAATGAGGGGAAGTGGTCGGCCGTTTGAGGATTGTTAATAGTACAAGCTGTAATTGTTCCGACAAACAGGCGTCCTAAAGATATTGTCGTCTATTGGCTAAGCCTCATTTCCTGTATACGAACATGCCTGGTGCCGAAGGTGTCATGGAACTATAGCAGGGCAGTGTTTAGGATAAGTACACGAGGATAGCTGGGCAGTGTTTAGGATAAGTACACGGGGAGAAGGATCTGTGACAAGAGTGTTGGGTTTCTAGCAGACTGATACAGTCAAGGAATGCCTGGTTTTCTCTAATCACTCTAATGTTGGCTTCCATTAACTGTGGTAGGGTACATGTTGTAGTGGAAGGGCGTGTATAACGACACGGTTATTACACTGTCAATAATGGTACCATAATGGTACATATCCTAATGGGATAGAAGAAATATGCGACAGGGAGGCTAGTTAAGGTAATTGGATTGTGTCACCATTTCTCAGTAGAATTTCTTCAAATTTTGTAGATATATTGCTTTGAAGTAAAGAAAATTTTCTGCCACCAAAAAAATATAGGTTGTCAGAATTTTAAGGATTTTAATGGAAATTTATGTAAAAAGGAGTGAATTTTGAAAAAAACAAAAAAGACAATATTTTGCAAAATGATGTCAATAAAAATGATACTTACATAGATTAGTATTGCATTTTTGTATATCAATTTAATAAATGCTGAAATTGTGTAAAATTAATTATCTAGAAACGATTAAAAATTGACATTTTATAATAAAATCATGTACGCATAGCAATTGCATGTAATAGTTATCTTTCTTAAAAAACTTCACAGTAGTGAAATAGGTAGCCGGTTTCCTGAAGTATAGAAAAATGAACACATGTGACTCATTAATAAAAAAAACCCTGAATTAATGCCTGGATTGCTTTGAAATACTTTAATATTGAGAGAACACACTGTTGTGTCAATAATAAACCAACAATATTCATCAATTTAATATTAAACAGTAGAATATGCGGAAATTGTGATACTGTCTCCCTACATTGGATTTTCAACTAGGGATGAACTTCCTATTTCCGTTTATCATTGACACATAATTCATTAGCCTATTGTGCTCTGGTCAACATTTACACTTTTAGTTTCTGCTAGATAACATGCTTAAATATCATTAGATTTTGATAAAACTTGATTAGCATTGAAAGGCTGAATCTATTTGCTTAATTCTGGTGAAATTTGGTAAACATTTATATTAAATAAAGGCTCAGCTTGATGTTGAACAAAATCTGTGCATACTTTATTTGCCTACTGCGCTGTGATTGGTCAACAGTTTTTGCACAATTATTTGATGAAATGTGATCAGATTCTTCTGGAACATGGTGAACATGTCAAAACACATGCTAAGTTATATGGTGAACCAAATCGGTGCATGGCATTAGACAGGTTATATTGTGTTGGGTACTCTTGTTATCACAATAACATGGATATGTATTTGCTGTATGTTTCAGGAAAACTTAGTGATTGGGGCTTCCCCTAAGTCTGCAAGCTCTGAAAGTAACCATAGCAACCACAGTGCTGATTCGAGTGGACTGTGTAAGTATTTAGTGCCTCCCAGAGGTCACCGTTACTCTCCTGGCAGCAAATGTCTCGTACCTTTATAAATATCTCTATGACAAACAAAAGAAAGGTATGTGTTTGTTGAAAATTCATGAAGTAAAGGCAAGGTCAAAGGTCAAGGTATAAGAAGGCCAGTGTGTGGCAGTGTAGGGGTTCCAGTGTGACATAAGTTAAGTTTATTGGCACATTTAAGGTGTTAGTGATGTTGAAGAGATGAATCGTTGATCATGTTACACACATTACATTAATGTATCATTAATAATAAAAACGAGATAATAAACACAGTTTTATTGTACGGTTCAGAGTAGGAATGTCCTTGACTCACTTTCTAAGCATAACACCATCAATGCAGTTTTATGTACATTGTACAGTTAAAAAAAAACCATGTACTTGAATTACCAGCTTACATTTGATTCATGGAAGCAAAAACAGATCAATGTATGTTTCCAGAATATAATTGTATTGATTATAGGAAGTTTTTCCATGTCTCCTTAGTAACAAGTCAACAAGTTATTAGTTGTCAGGTGTTATTTTGTGGATTTTACTGAAATACAAATTATGCATTAAGAGAAAATAAAAGAACTGATGAAGAGTTTTGAGCTGGATATTAGATGAGATCTGTTATTTTATATTGTCAATAAAAGCTGATCCTTTCCTTACAAAGTTTTATGATTTAATTGCTAAATAGGTAGTTACCGTAGTGCCAGCCCCAATGGGGGCCAGACAGTGGTGCCAGTGGACGAGGTTTCAGGGTGTGGTCAAGTTTCCTATGTCCAGGCACACAGTGACTTTGTCCCAACCTCAAACAGTAGGGACGCCCTCACACTACAGGTAAGTACCTCAGTGCCTAAGTCTTGACCCTGAACAATAGGGATGAGCTCATACTACAGGTAAGTACCTCAGTGCCTTCGTCCTGACCCTGAACAGTAGGAACCACCTCATACTACAGGTAAGTACCTCAGTGCCTTCGTCCTGACCCTGAACAGTAGGGAC